AGGCAATTATTTCAATTTTCTATCTCACATGACGAAATCTATCTAAATAATCAAATTTTCCATTAGTTCTATTTTTAATCTAACATCGTTATAATAGACGATAAAGATATCTTCATGAAATGAGGAGCTCGATTAAAAATCGATTTGACAAACATTATTCGTGACATAGGTCGATTGAGAAATTAAACTCTAGTTAAAACTTCATAAAGCTAATGATTCATATGTTTTAATTATCAGAAACTCGACAAATCTCATCGGCATGTTGCGGTCTCGGCTATTTCATCATCGAACGCGTCGCGCTCGCGGCCGATAATTTTAAACTTTCGATAGAGGCGAATAGGATTCGTCTGACCACGCTTATCAAAATTTGAACGGCACACGTGTCGTTGCCATCCGACGAACGGTTCGAGCAAAAACGGGGGGATATATATTTAATGGCTAGCTTTTCTGGCAAATAAGTGATATGATCCAAAGCTTCGATAATCATGTCATTAATGAACAATTCGTCTAACTCGTGAAGCAAAATAAGCGACTGTCGCTCTTCCTCCCTCCACCCTCCCCTTGTCCCTTCCTTATACTTATTGTTAGCTACCGAAACACGCGCATTATATGAGTCTTGGCAGCACGGCGTTGTACCATTTTAATCGGTTCGTTTGGAAAATCTTTATATGTTGTTTGACGGCAGAATTATAACCGTTGGTGGTTGGCACGACGTAGATCAGAGAACGATGGAACGTTTTTCCCGGGGAAGTCCATTATCTCTCTCATAACATACGTTGACATAAGTATACAAAGGTTAAAAGCAATCCCTGCTTAAAGAGCAACTGCAAAGAAATCGACGCTCGTGCGATGGCAATAATATGCTAGGTAAACGCATTATGCACTGTTCTGTATTCGGTATTTATGTAATTATTCTGAAATAACTTTTTTTTATTACCGTTTTTCAATAATATTAAAAATTGTTCAGATTCATTTCTCCGCGTGATTTATAAAAAGGAAACCTATAATCGTTTATCTCCTAAATCTATATCGCAAAACAAAATATAAATTTTTTAGGAAGTATATATGTGCCAAGATTTTCAATTACTTTGTGATAGAACAACTTTGAAATAGAACAAGTTGATGATGATTTGTTACAATAATGTATTTTAATTAATTTAATTAATTTAATATTTAATGTAATTTGATTTCGTAATAACTTCAGAATTTCTGACATATAGACACGTTTCGAACAATTAAAATCAGAAATTTGTGATATGTCTTTCGGGATAAAAACAATTTTTAAAAACCCACGTATCATTCTCGCGGCGATATAATATCATATGAAACGCGGACATATCAAACATACGTGCTTATATATCGTTGTATACTAGCAGTAAAGAAACTGCTTTGGAAATCAAATTCAAAGGAATCGTATTGCGCAAAGTAAATATACTATGTGTAAACGTACATATAAATAATGACCTTTTGAACTATGGATTATTTAAGTTACCATTTTTTATTTTTAAAATTAAAATAATATAAAATAATATATCACAAAGAAACTTAGAAAAAATAACTTTATGTTATGTCAGAAAGAGAGTTGAATAACTTAATTTAAAATAATTTTAGATCCAAAATTTCTAAAAAGACTATTTAAAATAAAATAAAATAGAAATGAAATAAAATAGAAAGTACAATAATCAACAATAATAAAAAGATAACTACTTATACAATATAGAACAAAAAAGTAAAAAGCACAGAAATTAGGGTGTAAAAATTTTTATTTCCTGGTTTAACTATATATAAAAAATACCTTATAAAGTTAGGCAGTTATGAAAATTGCATATATCATTTCTTATGCGTGACTTTAAGGTATTTCGGACTCACTTTAACATTAATGTTCTAATTTCATATGAATTTTGACATACATTTACTAATGATGGTCTGAAATAGGGCCAAAACGTTCTATTTGTTTATTAAACTATATTAAATATAAATTTTTGCACTTTGGCTCTTATCAACCCAATACTTGTTCTATAAAATAGAAAAGAAACAAAAATTATTTTATATTTTTGTATAAATATATAAATGATTTATATATAAAATATATAAATTTAATTCATTTGAAAAGAAAATTCAATTCAATAATAATAGCATCAGATAATTCTATATAAATCAACTTTTTTGAGTATAATAATTATAATATTTTTATATCATTTATATATATATATATATATTTTACTCTCTTTATAATTACTTTAAAATAATTTCTAGTGCAATATACTAGCAGGTCTTTCATCATTCTAGTTAAAATGACGATTTTTTTCGCCATTGCCGCGAAAAGAACCGCTCATGTGCGTTAAGCCTAATGAGAAAATTTAAAGAGCTGTTAAAGGGAGGACAAAAGAAAAAAAAAAAGGAATAGTACATTTCACGTTCGGCGCAGTGACGAGAAACAGCCGAGAGCAGTAACTCGTAATACGTACCGCCGCGATGCTTTTGGCCGACACACGCATACACGCGAGGTGTTATTTGCAGCCGTGTGGCACAACCATTCTGGTCCTCTCGAGTGATTGATCGTTTTCACCGTTATACATCTCTTTCCGTCTTTCATTTTCCGTTTCAACGTTTCGCCTCTCTCTTCGACCCCGCGTCGTAATTTCACCTCGTTCCTCAGCGCTCTTACAATTATCCACTCTTGCCACTCTTGCCACTCCTACCTACACGCGTTAATTAGATTACGCGATATTAATTATTTTCTATGTTTTAATGTCAACGTGTGATGTCAGAATTTGTACCTCGTAAAAAGTATTCGTTATTAAAGTCAACAATTATAATCTACAAAAGCAAAATCTTCAATTTTAATTTCAACATTTCATTAATCTGGATTTTAATTTAACATTAATTAAACGCGCAAGGCTGTTAGAGCAACCAACTCTCCCCGCATAATTTTCCTGAATATTCTTGAACAGTTTCGCACACACACATACACCTGCCTGATTATTCTTATCGGACTTGTACTCACTTCCCACGCATACAAACCGACCACTATCTCGAATGGTTATTTCTGTTTTTTCGTATAACTCGCAACTCGAGCAGGATATTTTCGGAAATAACACCACATTGCGACACATTGTATGGGTCCACCTGCAACATTTTATCTTGGCGCTATCGGGCGCTGCGGCACGATGGTGCTCACTGGCGACACGCGACCAAATACCGAGATACACTATGGATATTCTATAGGGTATCCCAAGTACACGAGAATGTGTACGACCTAACCCGACGAAAGCATTATGCATTATGCACGAATGGCTCATAATCGACAATGTAACGAAATGATTTATAAGATCCTCGCCTGTTGGCCACATCGCGGGCTCTCTTTTGTGAAAATTCCCGAGCAAATGTTATTCAAGCGACCTGTTTAACGACCTTTTAATGACATGCATATTTAACTCGGGAATGTACCAAATTAACCACTTAATATATTTAACTAATTAATATATTTTATCTATGTAAAGTATAAATTCCCTTCCTCCATTGTTTATATATTATATCCGTTTCAGAAAGCGAGATAAACGGATAATTCGCGATAATTTTATTACGTTACATGACAATTTAATCATTTGTGTATCGCGTTATACAAATAGAAAGATCAATTTATCGCAGTGATAATTCAGTCATGATTTACTGCTGTATATCGGAAACATATTTCAAATACGAGCGGTTATGTATGTGAGATAGATAGTTTTGAATAATATATATTTTGTCAAGGGTCTCCCCCCAAGAACGAGAGATACGTCTCGCATGCAAAGTGGAAAGCAATCAGGTATTAAAACGTTTGCATCGCGCGGTATCTTTACTGCATCAAAAAGAGAGAGAGAGAGAAAGAGGGGAGAGGGGAAAGAACGCACGAGCGTCCCTTGCGACTGAAAGAAAAATGTGGAGCGGAATAATTTAATTCGCCGCCATGTGATCGACCGTAAAGTCGTGCTTTAAAAATCGTCCCCCGTATTTTTATCGTTCCTCGTTTTGTAACGGCGACCCAACATCGATCCAAAGCCAGTCTCCAAGGCTTCTCAACATACATCACACACGTAGGCCATTATTTGCCAAATATGTTATAGCATCACGCGGCTTTTCGCACCTCTCGTGTAACTTTTACGTCACGCACAGCGTGTCAATGTATGCATTAGATCAGATAAATACAACAAACGTGTAGAAAATTCCATTAATATGCACGTTTCATTTATGTTAGAGATTTGATTATCTCGTATTAAAAAAGACGAATGTTTCTGATTAAATTTAAAAAATCTAAGGTACATGCGCGTTTCCCTAATAGTTGTTGCTCAAGATCAATCAAAACCAATTCTCTATCCGAACAAACCAATTACAAATTCCGCTATTAGCATATTGAAAAACGCTCTAAAATATATAATCTCGATTATAATAAAATAATATATATATATTAACATTATTTATTTATTTATAATTTATTTAATATTTGTTTCGTAATATGGACAAAAATAAAAGTGTAATCCCGATTTAGTTATATCAAATACTTTGATGTTAGTTCGGGAATTGAAGTAAACGGGCAGTTATAATTTAATCCAAATGCGATGAGAAAAACGAATTAATACGGTATTTATTAGTCGACAAATTAAAACGGTAGATTCCGACTCGTTTGAAAATTCCGCATATTGCCATGCGGAAACTCTATCTCCACATGTGCAGGAAAATAAATGATATATCTATTTCAATGTACTCGTATTTCGCAATATCAGAAGACGAAATATATACATTTCTTTTTACTAAAATATTATTTAATTGACGCTGAAAAACAGCAAATGCGATAGCGACATATCAAAAAAATATATTGACGTCTCGTTTTTGCGACCTCGCCATCTCTCCCTCTCCCTCTCTCTCTCTCTCTCTCTCTCTCTCTCTCTTATCAAGTTTGCAGGAAGCTATCGCAATTTGCGAAGCGATAGCAGTAAAAATCGAGATGATGTACTCACCTCCTCGTCGGACGGCGGCTCCTCGTAATCCGACAACGTATTTTTGAAGACGAAAATGCTGTCGGACGGGTCGAGATGACGTGCGTTACCAAATTGCGTTTGTCCATCGGCAGCCTGTGTCGGTACGGTTGTCTCCACCATGTCGATAGATATGTCCGTCAATGTGTCCGACACGGCTGTGCGCGTCCACTTGGTCTTAATAATCGTGTCAACACGATCGTTCGTGATTCCGACTTGTCCAGGCGGCAATTCAGATACACGATTGCTGGAAGCTGTAAAAAAATTATATTTTTAATTCTTCTTTTTTTTTTTAAGAAATTTTTTTATTTTTTGAATACTTTCGGTGACATGCGCTTCCAGCGTAGAGATATTTTTTACTACAAAATTTAGATTAAGAGATCAATCTTCATTTTTGTAGCACAGAGTGGAAATCAATCAATCTGCTATCTCTATTTAAGCTTTTCAGAGTAGATCGGAATTCATACGAGGCGTGTTAAAAACGGAAAGGGAAATGAAGAAGGACGAGTTGAGAATGGGATGGTAAAAAACGCTATCGTGTATCGCGATGTAACAGACGCGAATGTTTTAAAACCCCGAGAATGTATGTTGGCATGTACAAGGTATGGGATTCGTCATTCTTGTTATATCATCCCCGCCGGAATGCCTTTACATCATGAATATGCATCGCGTTCGTGCACCACGCGATACATCACATACATATACATATACATATACACTACTGCCAACGACAGTTCGCCCTTCTCTCTCTCCGAGTCATCGCCATCCTCCCCCGCGATTAATCACTGCGCCTCAATATCAAAGCGTGACGGCCGCCGCGGTTTTATCTCGCTCGACGACGGAACGCGCGATTAATCATTTCGGCGCGGGACGAACCAGACGGAATCGCCGCGACCTCTCGATCGATGGGGATGATGAGGCCCCGGGACAAGCTCGCGCCAATGACGTTTCATTCATACGTAACGAGCGCACGTGTCCCCGACCACATGGCCCGTGTAACGAGAAGAAAGGGTGGGAGAGAAGAGAGAACACTTATGGTATCGTTCAGAAAATACGAACGCCGACCAGAGTCAGGAGAATATAACGCTTATAATGAATCGCGTCGTACTTACGCATGTTTATATACACACGACCCTTTTTTCCCTTTACGTACGTACACACGAAAACGTAACACGCGCATGTGACGCGAATGGCTACTCCGATGAGAGGCGCGCGTCAACGGTTACATTCGCGGCCGGTTAAGTTAGGTTAGGTTAGATTCGCGCGGATTTACCTCGTATCAGCGATTCGCAAATCTGGCAATTGACATTTTATTCCTGATTACAACTCGAATGAAAAGTTACTTACGTTTGTCGAGGAGAAGCGACCGATTCGACAGCTTGCGAATGAGATGATTGTAGAACGAATCGAAGTACACTCGAATGACTCGAATCCTCGCGAAGTTGTACTTGCAAACAAACTGGCAGAAACACGTTAACGTGGATGTAATACGAACTCCGTAATAAATACAATAAGCCGACACTTTTCTTACCAATATTCGCAATCTCTGAATTGTCATATCAATATACGAGAAAATCCGGTATATCTCAACGCGCCAAGCACTGGTGAACCGACATAGGACTGTCGAGTCGCCGAATCGTAACGACTGCGCCATCTGATGTGAAGGATATACAGTTATCGTACTTGTAAATAGTCTGATAATATATCGACGTATCAGTTCATATATTATTACGTCATTCGAAGAAAAATATGTGTGGAGCTTATATCAAATAAAATTATTCATACATGAAATACTACGCAAATTCTGATATAATCAAATATATTTAGTGGAAAAATAGAAAAAGACGCGCGTGTTCCGTGTTTCGTTTACGACTGCGAGAATCGCAATTGCCACTATCGACGTATCGAAAATATCGAGACGTCGAATCACGGGATATAATTGGATTCTGCTCGTTTCACTTGCACTTGTTGCGCTTGGTTCGGAAATGCGTCTCAAATTTTGGATGGACAAGAAAAATGAGTACAAAAAGTGCAATTAAAACGGAGCTATTATCTAAGATAAGATTTTCGAAATAGATGTTTTAGTAAACATATTAAAGAAATGATCGATATAGCGAAATATTACGAAAAATATAGAAATATATGTCGCTATAAGTCGTCGTCGCATCGAATTCGAATTTTCGATCGGCGATATAATTAAATCACGCCGGCAGACCGGAAGCATCATTCGGTCTATCTTTAACCTAATGCTCCCACTTATGTATATCGAAGGCATTTCGCCGAAAATAAACCTTCACGAATGTGTCACGAAACGTCTGGATAGTTCTATGTCGTTTATAATACGAGCTAACTCTAGTGTCATTCTAAGGATGAGCAAAGTTGAATCGCGCCGGTGAGAAAATTTAGAAAAGAAGCGAATCACACACATAGTGCTGTATTCTTAGAAAAAAGCTCGTTCTTTCTAAAAGTTTTCTACAAAAGGTAAAATGTGTGTGTGTGTGTTTTTTAAATTAGAATCTCCATAACATTTTGTGTATCTGTTATTTTTCTTAATGTTTAACAAAAATAATACAAACTTTTTATAACAAAAATTATTGCAATAATTGATAATTTATGTACAGACTTCTCAATGTTACTCTAAAAATTGTATAGTTATTATTAATTATAGTTATTATATATTGTATAGTTAACTACGTATTTGATTTACTAATATTTTGTACATCTTTTTTATTTTGTATACTCAAAGAAATATGTATAATATATTATATTATCATGGATCATAGGAATCTTTCCATGTTCAAATATTTAATACAATATTACATATTTTATGTTATAGAGATATCTTGTAGTTATAAAATGACAAAATCAGATATGACTGCACAAGAGTGGAAGGAGAAAGGTAACGAAGAATTTAACAAAGGCAACTGGTCAGAGGCATTAGATTGCTATACAAATGCACTGAACTTAGTAAAGGAAGATAATGCTGAGAAAGCGATATACTATAAAAATCGAGCTGCCGCTTATTTAAAATTACTTGATTATGAGAAAGTGATCAAGGACTGTGATAATGCGTTAAAGATATGTTCTAACGATCCCAAGGCCTTATTTCGTAGATGTCAGGCACTTGAAGCATTGGAGAGGTTTGAAGAGGCATATCGAGATGCAAGAAATATTATTTTATCTGATCCCAATAATAAATCTATTCAGCCTATAGCAGCACGTTTACATGAAATTGTACAAGAACGACATAAAGAAATGTCACGTATTAGTGCCAAAGTAAGTATATATGATTGTAAAGGAATTTATTAATTTGACCTATTTATAATAATTTTATCCAGTTAATATAAATAAAACATATTGTAACATATTTTTTATTTAATTAGTAAGAATTTTGATTTAGCCAATACATATTGTATATGATTTAAACTTTTTGCTATTTTTGTTGTATTTTTATTTAATCTTTTTTCGGTGGATATATTGTATTGAAAATTATGTTATATATAAATACAATTTGTTTATATAATTAATTTTATATACTATGTTATAGGTATCACAAATGCTAGACCTAGCCTTTAACATGAGCATGGATAAAGAGAAGCGTGAAACTGCTATGAATAATTTACTTGTGCTTGCACGTGAGAGGGCTGGTGCAGAAGAGATTTTCAAACAAAAAGGTGTATCTAAAATAACAAAATTTGTGAAAGTGGGAGAGGACGGGGAAATAATCTGCAGTGCAATCCGTATTATAGGCGAATTATGTAAAAATAATATTAATCAAACTGAATCTATTATAAGAGATATCGGTTTGCCTTGGTTTTTGGAAATGATAAACAGTAAGCTTGCAGAGAGAGTCAATGCATCTCAATACTGTTTACAGGTGATTATACTAATCAAAAATATATTATTATTGTACAAATAGAAATGTGTATGTATGAGTGGAAATTTATCTTATATGTGTTTTCTTTTCAGACTGTATTGAATACTTATAGTGGTATGGAGAATAAGCCTGATTCAAAACCTGACAAGACTTTATGCGAGGCGCATAAGAAAGAAATAGACACAATTCTATCATGCCTATTGTACAGCGTAACAAATAGAACAATAACAGGTCTTGCGAGAGATGCAATAATAGAACTTATTATGCGTAATATTCATTACACTGCATTAGACTGGGCCGAACGATTGGTCGAACTTCGCGGTTTGCAAAGATTGATGGAAGTAGCTAGTGAAATGGAGGAATACAAGTATGAATCCTCAATGGACATTACATCTTCTACACGAACTATAACCAGTGTATGTTTGGCTAGAATATACGAGAACATGTACTATGATGCTGCTAAGGACCGATTTAGAAATGCCATTGAAGAATTTATTAAAGATAAATTACTTACACCCGATATAGAATCGAAGGTATACATTTTGTGACATTATATAACTTTTAATTTTCTAAGAAATATTTAAATTATATAAATATTTAAATTATGTAAATATTTAAATTATATAATAAGACATTTATAGAATCGTTGGATGTCATTTTAACCACAATCTCTGTGGCCAATTTGGAACTAATTTTTTTTACAGAAATAATAAGAAAGATGGCTTTAATTCAATTTTCTCTTAGCATTATATCTTTGCAAATTTCGAATTGAAATTCTATTATTATTAGCAAATTCCATTTTAATTTCACTGATACATATGACTATCATCTGTACTGAAGCTTAGTTTATCAAAGATTTTCTATTTTTAATTGTTAAATACTCTAAAATGATAGCTATCTTAATATTTCTGCAAAAAAAAAAAATGTATTCTATATTGCATAAAATATATTGTATAAAAATTAATGGATTATTAATTGACTGTTTTATAGGTTCGTATAGTAGTTGCGATAACGACTTTATTGATGGGCCCGATAGATGTTGGAAATACAATTGTAGCTAAAGAAGGGATTCTGGAAATGATCCTCGTTATGGCAGGGACGGATGATTTATTGCAGCAGAAAGTCGCTTGTGAATGTATCGTTGCTATCGCGTCCAAAAAAGACAAGGCCACCGCGATCATAAATCAAGGTGTAAATATATTAAAGAAGCTGTATCAGTCTAAGGATGACTCAATCCGCGTCCGAGCATTAGTGGGATTGTGTAAGTTAGGAAGTTCGGGAGGCACAGATGCGACTATCAGGCCGTTTGCGGACGGAGCAACGAAAAAATTGGCTGAGGCCTGCAGACGATTCTTGATTAATCCCAAGAAGGAAAAGGATATGAGAAAATGGGCTATAGAGGGTTTATCATATCTCACTTTCGACGCCGAAGTCAAGGAAAAATTAATAGAAGATCAACAGGCTATTCAAGCTATGATCGAGCTCGCCAAAACTGGCGATCAGTCTGTTCTTTATGGCGTGGTCACAACATTGGTGAACTTGTGCAATGCTTATGACAAGCAAGAGCTCATACCCGAAATGGTTGAGTTGGCAAAATTCGCGAAACATCATATTCCCGAAGAACACGAACTAGATGAGGTCGACTTTGTGAATAAGAGATTATGCACGTTAACTAAGGCTGGTGTAACCACTGCTCTAGTCAGCCTCGCTAAAACGGACAGCCAAAATAGCAGGGAATTGATAGCGCGCGTTTTTAATGCGATATGCAGTCAACAAGAAGTGAGAGGAATAATCGTTCAACAGGGTGCTGCGAAGGCTTTATTACCGTTAGCGTTAGATAACACGGACAAGGGAAAAAAGCAAGCCTCGCAAGCTCTGGCTCGTTTAGGAATCACGATAAACCCCGAGGTCGCGTTTCCTGGGCAGAGAATAATGGAGGTCGTTCGACCATTTATAAATCTCCTGAATCCAGAGTGTTCTGCTCTCGAGAATTTCGAAAGTCTAATGGCTCTGTGCAATCTAGCTGGCGTCAGTGACAGCGTGCGAAAACGTATACTGAAGGAAGGAGGATTCCAGAAAATCGAGGCCTATATGTACGAAGAGCACGACATGCTGAGGCGCGCGGCCACGCAAGTAATGAATAATTTGGTAATGTGTGAGGAGACAATCCGATATTACGAACAAGAAAATGACCGAATTAAGTATCTTGTAATACTGTGCGAAGATGAGGATCAAGATACTAGTATTGCAGCGGCTGGAGCTCTGGCGATGCTAACATCAGCTAGCAAAAAGACTTGCGAAAAGATTTTTGATTCAAAAGATTGGCTGGAGTCTCTACACTTCTTGCTCGCCAATCCAAATTGTGATGTACAACATAGGGGTGTCGTAATTGTGCTGAACATGATAAAAAGCACAAAGGAGGTCGCTGCGAAACTTATTGAAACGGATATAATGGAAATATTGATGGCATTGAGTAAAAACGATAATATACAAAACAAAAAAATCAGAGAATTGGCATCTACTGCTTTGGATGCTGCTGCCAAATGGAAATTGATCAAGAAAAACGTTGATGAAAACGAATCGTCAGAAAGCACTAGTAATATTGAACATGTCGATTAAACAAATCATATATGAATATATTGACCTCAATTCTAATCTAAATGTCACAAACTTGTCAAGTCAAGTGACATTTCTATTTATTGTTAAAAATATATGACAATATATGCAACCAAAGACTTCACAAATTTTAAATTTGCTCATTACATCTTAAGATAAATATTATTAAAAGAAGATTTTAACAAATTTAATATCAAATTATAAAAATGGTGCTAATAAAAAATTAATTATGCGAGTTGTACAATCTGAATTACTGTATATATTATGAAAACTGTGTATCAAAGTTCATAAAATCGCATCACACACACACATACACAAAGAAACAGCTATACAATATTCTAAACTTACTTGCAGAACAAATTGTTGACCTGGCAATGAACGATACACAGTGATGTTTGTAGAAAGATCTCCAAGTCATTTGTAGGATCCTCACTAATAGTCATCTGCACACTCTCAGTAGTTATCATCTGTGTACATATATACATACATTAGAATTAATTTTTGTCAAAAATTATTTTCAAAAAAATTAATATCTTATTATTTTTGGTACATATGTTGATGAAACAAAGTGGAGAAATTTTATACATGCTATCTTTGTTTCTGGCGTAAAAATTATCTAGATTTCACATTTAAAGTAAGAGTAAAAATTATCAAAATGTTAAAAGAGAATGTTGGAATAGGAAAAAGAAAAACTTTCTGCATTACCCTTTTATTAAACATACATCTGTTTTAACGAAATTAAAATATACGTGCAACTTTTCAAAAGACAAACATCCATCAAATTTATCAAAAGTCTATGAAGTCTTTAATGTAAAAACTCGAGAATATTTAATTTATTAAAAAATATATAAGAAATAAATGAAAATTTAGATTATATATATTGTTTATTTTATTCTGTGTTTAATAATTTTGATTTATAATCAATGTTGTAGTGAAGTTAAAATAATAATACTAATCATTCAACAAATTTGGAGATGGTTACTAAAATCTACAGTATTACAAGCAAATATAATGCAAAACTTAAAGAAGATCAAAAATTATTTATAAAATATATACATTTATGTAAAGTTATGTATGTGTGTCTGTTTGTATATATAAAAATACCTGTATCTAATATTCCCATTATGATATTTATTTTATTTAGGAAGAATCCTATATAGATATATTATATAAAGTTTCTGATGTTGTCTCTAATTATTATTAATTATTGTCTCTAATTATATTATTAATTATTGTCTCTAATTATAGCAGAAACAATATTGATTTAAAAATGCAATAAAGATATGATCCCATGCAATAAAATATCTAGTAAAATATTTCAAAAATGTAAAATATATAAATGTTTTATAATAGTTCTAATTTACCACTTTGGTATTTCTATTTGTATAAAAATACAATTATATTGTACTAACAATGAAAAATTGTGAACTAGAGTAGATTTTTTAATTTGCTTTCTCGTATTCAATATAATAATATAATGTTTTTTTAAATAAAAATGTAATATAAATATTTTATTTTATTTCAATAGAATCACATTCGATTCTTTATTCAGTTTATTCAATCAAAATAAGATATTCCGCGATTAACTTCTAAGCAAGATTTTTAAGCAAACTTTCGATAATAATGACACTATATAAACACAATGTAAACTCAAAAGATTATAATAAATGTATGTACAAGTGTAAACTCTTCTCTAAATGTATAAATACTCGAAAGACCGTTAAGAAAAAAAGCATCCATAATGGCCGGACTATCTGAACCGAAAAATTCGCTTGACTTTTTATTCTTGAAATTCTCGTTTAATATACCGTAAAACTATAAAATAATCTCACAGTTTATTCAAAATATAATGCTATTGCGAATAATCACATCTATTTAGCTCGATTATCTCTTTGTCGGCTTACCTATGCGGATATTATCAGAATCCGCAATCTCCGCTTCTGTACGACACAACGTTCGCGCGCGAAAAGAGAAAGAAGAAACCGTTGCATTTTGCGCGTAGCATCTTGAACCAATCGGGATGAAAGGCGCCAAGAATTCCTCATCCTGATTGGTCAAGCCACGAAATCTATCGAAAACCGCCGAGCAGTTCTCGAACAATTTGGCGCGAGGATTCAAAAGCGTTTAAAATCATTTGCAAAGACGTAATACGAGATATCGAGAATTAACATTTTTCATTTAGAATTATGTAAAAATGAGCATTTAAAATAATTATACGCGTTCGAATTTTAGTGATAAACCTCCGATTGTTTACAATTGTTTTTAGATCGTGTCACCACACCCGTGGAGAATAATAACCTCTTGTCATGGTTGCCGCAAATATTTCTAATAAGAAACAGCTCAAAAGTCACGATTCGTGAGGATTGTGCTTACTGAACGATATACGGAATCTGGATGTTTTATTCGCAACAGTAAAATTGAAAGGTACTTCATAAATAGACCAAGACAGTTTCTAACCTGTATCATATTTACTCATACATTCATCCTACATAAGTAAACGAAAACGATTTTATCTTATGCTTTACTTTCATTTAAATAATCAAATAAAGCAATCTAATCGCTTTTTTTCACTTGTTATTCGAATATATTCTAATATTGTTGAGATTATTTTGTATTATTTGTAATTGGAGTATGGAATGCCTTACTACGACGATATATATATAAATTAAATACCTTAATAATAATAAAATATCAAGTTATATAGTTTAATATTTATTAAAATCCATTTGTACTTTGAAATATAATCATAAGAAAATCCTTTATTTTTAACAATTTATTTAAAGAAATTCAAAAAGTAATTTTAACAAAAACATATAACTAAAGTTATTTTGAGGAGATGATAAATACATATAGATGCTAAAATATGATCTTTACATATGTATCTTATACATAGAAAGAAACACACTCTCCTTTCCTTGATTTTAAGTATCTTTAGAAACACATTCTTTATAAAAGATACCAGTATATCACAAACTCAGAAATGGATGGGATAATGCTTGTTCAGCAGTGATACGTGTTTTATAATCTAGATCTAGAAGTTTTGTCAAAAGCTGGTATGCTTCCTTGGGATACTCAATATTTGGCAACACCTTAAAAAATTTTAGGAAAATTTGTAAATGTCAGAAGATATAAATATTATACATTACAGAAGTAAAGAAGTAAGAACTAGATATAATCAAGCATTCTATTTTCACTACAAAAGCAATTATTTTAAACAATTTTGAAATGGAAAGAGATTAAACCACTATTAATGAGTGGTTATTCTACTAATTGTGATGATTTAAATATCTTTTAACATACAAAAGTCAAAATTTTTATCGTTGTGTCCAATTATACTTCTTTTACTTTATAATATTATATAATTTCATTAAATAAAAATCGTTTCAAGTATAAAAACAGAATATACCTTGCATATACTATTTTCTCTATCATGCATCATGCTTCTGTTTCTTTTTCGTAACTTTAGGCACAAAGACATAATATCAATGCCTGGTAAATTTTCACTAAAAATAATTTTCTTACCTAAGCCAAATAAAATAGAAATAAATAATAAACACAATCCACAAAATAGAAATTAATTAAATGAAAAAGAACAGTTTAAATAAATTATTTATCATAACCATGATAAAACATACCTAATTTTTCTGCACATTGTTCTACTTTGCGAGATCCAAATATCGTTGTTATTTCCGCTAGAGCTGTGCAGTCATCGGGCGAACGAAAAAAAACTTGCGTACCGCTGAGTATGCATAGCATCATCACACCACAAGCCCAAATATCAATTGCTGGAATTTTGTGCTTTTTTCAGTCATTACAAATTTAAAATCGTTTTATGTTCTCCATCATATCATTATTATTTAGTACCTGGAGTTTGTGATGGATGTTTCAATAAAACTTCAGGGGCACGAAACCCAGGTGTGCCTGCACGAGGCGCTGTTTGTTGTGGTCTTGTTAAACATAATGTGCACACTTTAGGTTTCCCAAAACAATTACATTTGTTATCTATATTCTTTTTTGCTATATTTGAATTAAGCTGAAAACTTAAGTTATTCTAAAACAGATTACAACAACAAGGAATAAGAAACATTAGATTATTTTTAGATATATTGCATTTGACATGTTGCATATAAAACTTACTTCGTCAGATCTCTTCCGTTTCATGCTCTGTATTTCAGTTGTTCCTTCATTTATTATTTTTGTCTTCAAATTCTTTGCATTGTATTCAGTGTATTGCTGTGCAAGCCCAAAGTCTACCAATAAATATCTGTAAGAAAAAAACAGAAATATTAAATTATATACAATTGTAATTTTTTAAAAATATAGAAAAGAAATTCTGGTATTTAAAATTTACTTCCTATTGATACGGCTGTAGAGAAAATTACTGGGTTTCACATCTCTATGTATGATATTAAACTGATGAACTCTTCGTACAGCGCTTAATAGAGCTTTCATATAATCCTTTGTTTCTTCTACAGTCATATCTTTGACATATTCCTAATTATATATAATCATTATTAATATATTTTTAATCTTGTTAATGTAATCGAGACTTTGCAAACTTAAATGCAAATCACAAACTTACTGAAAATTTATCATGCTTCATATATGGCATTACAAACACTACTGAACCATGATTTCTTAAACATAAATCTATGCCAACAATATGATCTTTGCCTCTGAAATAAATTATATTTGTTTCTGTCAATGTAAATTCATATGAAACTATATAATACTTCTTTTCTCAGACTGAAATTTGCTTAGCATACCCCATCTGTTGCAAACATTGTAATTCACGTTCGATTCTTTCAGGATGACAAGTGGGAATTAAGTGTTTCAATGCAAACTTTGTATGTCTATTAGAAGACTTCAGAGTAGCCAAAAAGACAGAGCTAAATGTGCCGTCCCCAACTTTACAATGTATGTGGAATAGCTCATTTACAAGTGGGATCGATTTTTTCAGATTTGTACAGCTATCTTTTGCTAGAACAGCAAGCAAGTATACACGTCATTTGTACATTTTTATTTTAATATAAAAACATTGTTAAAATATATATCTATATGAAGCCTATGTGATAGACATGATATATAGTTTAGTATTTTTGAATTGTCTCAAATAAAAATGTACAAGTTTAATTTTTATTAAATCTGTAAATTATCTTGTAAACAGAATACTATTAATATTCTAAATATAGGAAGATATACTTAAATATAAATACCGTCATTGTCAATTTTATCTTTTCGATGTAAGTTGTTGATTTCCATCCTGTCGAATTTTTCTGAACCTTTTTTAATCACTCGTGTAATGATCACTCCAACATATCACCGAATTCACCTTTTTCAGAACTTGTCCTTCGTTACCGACGATTACTGATTAAATCATTAGAAAAAATGATCACTAATCATCACTAATATAATATAACAAACATAACCTTTAGAAATTGGCGTTATTTCGCGCCAATTTTCTAGCGCAATAAAGACCGATTTTCATGAGATTATAGGTTTGTTCTTTTTATAACCATCATATTTTTGCTTTTATCATACGTGATTGGCTAATTTCGATATGCGCGGTTATTTAAAAAAAAATCTATGCATGAGTTTCTTTTGTAAAATTAAAAAAAAAAGGATTTTTGGAAAGCAGAACGTATTCAAATTAACAATTAGTTAACTTTGCTTGTGATATAATATGGTTTATAAAACTTCCATAACGATATGTAATAGAGATATATCGTAATATTTTATTTGATTTTTTTCTTTGATACAAAAATAAGAGAATGATACAAGTAATGTTTAAAGTAATAACGAAATTTCAGAACATGTGTATGTCAAGTTAACTCAATTTGCAATAATTCTACGCAACGTTATGATTTCGATTCGGTTAGATCGAATACATCGTGTATTGCGAAGAATTACGGGGGGTCGCCACGTTCGACGACCTTGCTTTGACTTTGGAACATCGATACGTCGCGATTTCAACTCTTCCCCGCGGTTAGATTTATCCAACAGGAGTCAACTACGTGACGTTACTTGTCCCATTAATAAAGATTTAACGAGTCTCGTTGTATCCAGTAGTATTCGCTTTCTCTTCAGAAATATTGCGGCAAGTAGAACTACAAAGAGAAGCATCATTATGGCGCTCAACAAGCTCAGCATTGATAAAATTGAATTGACGGATAAAAGGGTGCTTATACGGTATGTATTTTCCATGAGAAAAAATTAAGAAAAAAAAGTGGGAAAAAGTTGAAAGTAATATTCATAGCAATATAATGATTTTCCAGAGTCGACTTCAATGTACCGTTAAAAGAAGGAAAGATAACGAACAATCAGAGAATCGTTGCTGCATTAGATACTGTGAAATATGCCATCGAGAAGAAAGCCAAGTCGATCGTTTTAATGTCCCATTTAGGACGACCTGATGGGAAGAGGGACGAAAAGTATACATTGAAACCTGTGGCCGAGGAATTGAAGACTCTATTAGGAAGAGACATTTTGTTTTTAAATGACTGTGTTGGATCTGAGGTAGAAGCTGCTTGCGCAAATCCAACACCTGGTACTATTATCTTGTTAGAAAACTTGAGATTTCACATTGAAGAAGAAGGCAAAGGAGTAGGTCCCGATGGAAGTAAGGTATGGAAGATTTTTTTCTGTAAATTTAAATCTTTTACTTTCATCCAATCGACAATTTTCGAACATGCCAATAAAAACATAGAGCTTTGGAGTAATAAACTGATTTATTGTAGGTTAAAGCTGACAAAGATAAGGTTACAGAATTTAGAGCATCTTTAAGAAAACTAGGAGATGTATATATAAATGATGCCTTTGGAACTGCTCATCGTGCTCATAGTTCCATGATGGGAGATGGATTTGACATAAGAGCAAGTGGTTTTCTGTTGAAAAAAGAACTGGAATACTTTGCAAAGGCTCTAGATAATCCAGAAAGACCATTTTTGGCTATACTTGGAGGAGCTAAGATTGCTGATAAAATTCAATTAATTAACAATTTGCTAGATAAAGTAAACGAAATGATTATTGGAGGTGGTATGGCCTATACATTCTTAAAAGTGTCCAAAGATATGAAAGTATGTAACATTTAATAAGAATTATATGTAATATAATGGTATTTGTAACTAACTACATTTATAATTTTTACATGTTTGTGATTTTAGATTGGAAATTCACTGTTTGATGAAGAAGGTGCAAAAATTGTAAATGATTTGTTAGATAAAGCGAAAAAAAACAATGTCCAAATTCATTTGCCAGTAGATTTTGTGACCGCCGATAAGTTTGCAGAGAATGCAACAGTGGGAGCAGCAGATGTAGAGAATGGTATACCCGACGGATGGATGGGTTTAGATATTGGCCCAAAATCGAGGGATTTGTTTGCAGGTGACTGTTTTTTACATCATTTATAGCAACTCATATATTCAATATATAATATTTTGGAAAATAAAATATATGTCCAATATTATAAATATAATACAAATGTCTAACATATAAATATCACTAATTATATTGTTTTGATATAGAACCCATCAAGAGAGCAAAAGTTATAGTATGGAATGGTCCAGCAGGAGTGTTTGAGTTTGAGAACTTCAGCAAAGGTACAAAGAGCTTGATGGACAATGTTGTTGAAGCTACAACTCGAGGAACGATCACTATTATCGGAGGCGGAGACACGGCGACGTGCGCAGCCAAGTGGAAAACAGAAGATAAAGTGAGTCATGTGAGCACTGGTGGTGGTGCGAGTCTGGAACTTTTGGAGGGTAAAGTATTACCTGGAGTTGCTGCCCTCTCTCCGTCGTAAATTTGTGTCTTCATAATGAACATAATATGCCAATTAAAGGCCAATTTTGTCAAAGAAAGCATAGAGATATCATGATGTTTATCATTTTCATAGAAATTTAACGAGTAGCTGTTATAAGGAATAAAACTATTCGTTGGATTTAACGCTGGTAGGATTATTATAAGAAACAAGAAAAAATTATCAACATAATCATCAACTGTTTTGTTTTCAGAGTCCCCCATTTCATAAGAAATATTAAAATTATATCTTTTCAGATATTTAGGTCTCCATATTACAATTACATTAGTGTAAAGTTGTAGATATACATAATGAATCAAATGTGCATTATATATAATGTAAAATATATTAGAAGAATATTAAACCGATGTTATATATTAGTTACTAAGAAAATAATTGTAAGATGGAACAGTCACCGTTATTAAATATAATCGTCCGTGCACGGTAAAATGTTCACTCATAGTTTCGACACAAATTTCAGATTGCTCTGCATCATATAAAATTGTAAATATGTTATGTTTTATTTAAATATTAGTGTGATTATATACTTTCGCTGATATAATGTGTCAAAAATAAATTCCGATATCTTATGTTGTATCTCTTATTAATGATTATGATGTTTAATTATATTAATTTTGCAGCAAGCTTTCTTAAAATTCAGCGGATTTGATGAAAATAGCATCAAAATGCAATTTTCATTATATCTCTCACTTGTTAAATATAATTTGTAATCCAACAAAAATGCATAACGGTTTGCATTTTTCTAAATAGATAAATGCATTTTTTGCAATTACAATATATCGCATAATCTTTATAAAAACGTACACGTTTTTATATTAGAAATTTATATAATATTGATATAATACATTGCTCTGTATTATAGATTTTTATTACCGACACACTTTGTAAAAAAATAATATTACTATTACTATTTTTATAAATATTTTATTTTTATTTTATTTGTATCTGATTGCCCAATCAGAACAAAGAAATCTTTGCGTCCGTTGCTTCCTACTATCCAATAAGAAGTGTGACTACTGACATTTTATGGACGCAGAGGCGTCTCGTTGGCAATAATGCGATATCGCCATAATTTCATCTAGAGTTCAAATTGTATAATGAAGCGCAGCTAAAAAGAACACACTTGGAAAATCGAGTGCGCAACCATAAACGTATCGCGATTATTCCGTCTCGCGGTCTCGCTCACTCATGTCATCAGACATGGCGGTATCCGTGGCGGTGAAAGATGTGAACACTTTTCTCAGTCAGAAACAAAATGTTTCCGACAAGGAATTGGCCGGAGAATGGTCTCAGCTCGAGGAGCTGTATAGTAAAAGGTAAAACGAATATATATTATTTCGTATAATGAGATTTTATGACGGAAAAAATAATAGATGGACATATCGGTCTCGGTGACTTGCAGGCTTTGGCATCAGCTGACGCTGAAATTGGAGACGTTTGTGAAAAATCCGACGCTCCAGCAGGGAGATAATCTCGTGCAACTGTATGTTAACTTCCTATCGACCTTTGAAAACAAGTGAGTATTTTTGATCATATCTATATTTCGAATTTAAAATAACTATGATTTTGCATGGTATACATCATTTTTCCTTATACTTTGCTATGTTATTTTGCATTCTCTTTATTCTTATTTGCTATTAAAATTTTTTTCAATTATTTTTGTGAAGAATAAATCCATTGTCATTGGTGGAAATATTGGCACATGTGATACAACAATTTCAAGACAAACAAGAGGCAATTAAATTCTTAGAGAAAACTGAAACTAAAGTCCAGAGTAACAATGAAGCTATTGCCCTCTGTAAGGTTCTCAAAGGACAGATTTTATTGGATAAATTGAATAATCAAGAGCAAGCAAAAAAGATTATAGAAGACGTAGAAGCTATGCTAGATAATGCCGATGGTGTTACAACAGTTCATGGACGTTTTTACCTTTTAGCCAGCCGGCTATATAGATTACAAGGCAAACATGCAGAGTATTATCGTACAGCATTAAGGTATACTTATGTATAATTTATATTAGCTTATTGTGAATTGTACAATTTTTCTATGATCAATTATAATTAACTAAATCATGCTTACTTAATATCTTTTTTATTATTAAGATATCTAGGTTGCATTGAACTGAGCAGCTTGAGCAGGCAAGAGCAAGAACAACACGCCTTCTTTCTTGGTCTAGCAGCACTCTTAGGCGAAGGGGTTTATAATCTTGGGGAACTGCTGGCACATCCAGTCCTAGAATCGTTAAAGGGCACACCTAACAATTGGCTCGTTGATTTGTTGCAAGCCTTCAATGCTGGTGATATCGTCGCGTTGGAGAGATTGAAGCCGCAATGGAGTAAAGTGGCTGATCTAGCTGCGCAGGAATTAAAATTGAGACAAAAGATCTCCCTGCTGTGCCTCATGGAAATGACTTTCAAACGGCAAGCCAACAATCGGTGCGTATAATTCATTAACATCTTTGATGTATGCAATGCTATAAAAGCTTCAAAGCTTCGAGCATTAAATGAAATATTTATTTAATTCCTTTTTAAATGAACATTCCATGTTAATGTTTGCACAGACAGCTGACATTTGCGGAGATCTCTCAGGAGACGCGTCTGCCTCTCGGTGAAGTGGAATTGTTAGTGATGAAAGCTCTCGCTCAGGGTCTCGTTCGAGGTGCCATAGATCAGGTAGCAGGTACCGTCAACATGACTTGGGTGCAGCCGCGCGTTCTAGATCGCAGCCAAATTGCCGGGATGGTACAACGTCTCGATGGATGGTGCAAAGATGTTAGTTCGATGGAGAAACTTTTGGAGTCTAGGGCCTCTGAAATTCTTACTCTTTGAGAAAGATTTGTTGCGTGGATCATCTTATTATTAATCTGTTATATTACAGTGGAACGTTGAGATTCACGCACTTACGATTATAAAATCAGTTTCCTAACATCAATAAATATGAAAAATTATTTCGTATATTTGCATTTATACGCAAAGTCCTCTGTGTAATGTAATTTTTTTTCCTTCTATGCAAAAAGGCAAGAAACATATTGTAATATTTATAAGAAATATTATTTTATAAGCAAATTAAAGATATAAGAAAAACTCACAATAGAAACAAAAAAGTAATCATTTTATTTAAAAATTCGTGAAAATACATTTTTCCAGTTCTTGGTGCATTTTATATTGATAAATGTCAGTAATTGTGAATGTTAAATGCTATATATCTTTCTCTATACAATATTAAGTACTTATACTTAATTATAATACACAAGTTATATAATTTCAAGTACAAATGGCGGATATTTCTCTAACTCTATTTACAAGTATAATTTATACGTTATTATTACAAGTAAACAATCAAGCACATAGATCCAAACGAACACAATATGACAAATACAATATGATTAACAAAAAAACAGTTTGGGAGATATAATCTTACAATAAATATATAAAAATTTTTTTTTTTAAATACATTTATAAATGACAAACGACTCTCACAATTTGACCACATTTTTGTACACTCAGCCTTGTCGTTTTTAACTTTCGTTCCTTATAAAAAAAAATAGTATTTTCTCATTTATCTAAAAGAATATTGCAAATAAAAATGATGAAGTACATTTAAGTACTTTGCTTCTTAATTTTGATAGAAGCGCATTAAGATTTGACAAATGCTTAAGAATATTAAACGAAACGTTTAAGTACATGCTTATTCTATATCACATGGTTGACTTTCCGTTTACTCTTGATCTGCTCCGTTTGTTCATGTCGTGTATTCTTCAAACAATGCACTTATATATTTGCGAAACAGCAGAGTACATTATTTCGCGATTTCGAATACTCTGTTAAAAGAGTTACTCATTGCTCGCCAAGGTTGTATCAATGCCATTAGTTGGATTTGACAAAGCGAATAAAGCTACCTACTTATGTAGCAAAGTGTTATAAATAGATTGTAAATGTATCTTCTTTCTTCTCAATCTTGTTCTTTCAATCTATATCTCTGGATTTTCTTTTCAAGTTGCCATCCAAAGCTGGTGGATCAGAGGCAAGAATCTTCTCTTTCAGATACATATAATTCTTCAATCTGGAGGCAGCATAATCCTGAAACATGCAATTCCATGTTTATATATTTAAATAGATCTATTATTTAATTGAAAGTAGTCCGAAAAACGAGATAGGAGAACGATAATATAAAATATATGCCTAAATATTCTTATATATATAATTTTTTTATTTTTAATATATTTAAAGTATGCATCAAAATTTTTTTACATCTATACACACCCAATATCCGAATGGAATCTGTGAAATTTTGGCATTTACAATGCTCCAAAGACCCCAGAATAGATGACTAGCTAACGAGAATATCCTCACTTCCATCATGACATGTTGCTCCTCCACAGATCCATCTTTCCCCAATGTTTTCAGGTAGGCTCTTATGAAGTTGAGCTGTCGAGAAAAGCTAATTTATAAAACCATGTATTAAGGAAGAGACAAAGAATTACCCTATTCTTGTACTTTTCAATTTGTTTAATAATTGCTAAAATAATTTTTTTATAATAGACTTGTTTGTACATCAAAAATATTCAATAATGATTGTCTCAAAAAAAGTAGTTTATACAATATAATATATAATGAAATACACAAAACATTGTTATAGCAATATGAACGAACTGGACATACATGGACAGAATTTGAATATTACCAACAAATGAAATAATATAAATAACAGACATCTGAAGAAGAAGATACAAAAGAACTAATTTATGATATGTGATTTAACGCAATATGAAATGTATATTAAAAAAAGAAATATGAAAGTCTACACGAAGTTTTTTTTATTTTGTAAATTTTTATATAAATCTAAAAAAAGATTATCATTATTTAATATATATTATATTTATTTTTATTATTAAATTATTCATACCTATCCATATTTGTGTGTAATTAAGACAAATATTTCCTATTTACTTATAATGCATGCGCGATTATAAATCCCCAATAATATTTTGATAAATCGACACATTTATAATATGAACCGTTTTCGCAAAATCAGCTATTAATTTGGCAAGTATTAATTATGCGTACAGAATCGCATCGGTCAAAGTGCTCCAATGCTAGATTAATGCACTTTTACCACTGCCGAAACAGTACATTCGTATAAGGGTACGCAGATTATGAATTGATTAGAGTGAGGAGAGTGTACAGGTACTATAAAATGTAGACGAGCGGATTGGTGTTGCCAAGATGGTGATACCCTGGTTCCACAAATGTAGAGCACCCACAAGTCGGGATCCATCGCGCAGACATTGTCATTCAGATTGCTGGCCATTTTTTTCTCTGATTGCAGGCATCAGCATTGTCTTGACGGACTGCGGTCCTGCGAAACTAATATATACACACGCAGCACACGCCAAGCCGACACCCTATCTACTGTGTGTCCTGACACAGTACCGAATAATATGTAATTTTTGCAGCCGAAGAGACTATATCGTGTAAGCATTAAATTACAAAGTTCTGACAATAATTTACCCATTACATTTCTATGATACATAAAATGAATACTATTTTCTTAATCAAATTTGTATTTCTTGTAATTAAAATAAATTTAAATAAATGTTTGGTAAATATGAAGAAAAAATAAAAGAATAATAAATTAATTTTTTCCTGGATTATTGAAGATTATCTATTTCGGTATTAAGTTATTATCGTGCAAAGCTTTACGAATTTTTTCTTGTACAAAATTTCCCTTATGAATGTAATTTTATACCATTGTAATAGATATACCAATCTTTTATTTGCGAGCATTATAATATATTCTCAATGGTTTAATCTTTATAAAAGAATTCATGATATGATAATGCTGAATGAAGCATATTGAACAGATAATCAGAATATCTTACCTAGATTAGATCATCGCCCAATTCTTTTCTCATTTCAAACTTACCTTTTGTTCTTTTGTAGGACCAGCAGATGGACGTTCGTGAAAGAAGGGATATTCCGGCGTTGTGTAGTCGTATTGCCATTCAGCAAAATGATTAGCGATATCAAATCCTCGATAGTTGTAGGAACAGTATTCGAAGTCAATGAGTACTAATTCCGGCTTTCGCGTATTTTGACGTAGAAGTATATTGCCTTCTTGCATATCATTATGGCAGAATGTAACTGGATATTTTTGCTGCATCACAAGTGCCCTGACAAATAGATTTGTAAATTTTAATCTTAGTACACATAATGTTTTCTTGATAAGCCCTAAGCTCTTTCTACTTACTTGAGCCAATTAATTTCGTGTTCTAAATTTATGTATTTTATTGCACTAATATTCTCTAAATGCTGAATATCAATATCTTCATTATTTTCGAGAATATCTGTCGCTGTATTAAGCCAGTTATTCATTGTTTCCCATATCCATTTAGGTTCTTTGCTAATTGGTATCTGCATTGTATGTATTTGTCCCATTTTCTCTGCGATCAGCGAACTCAAAGTGGAATCTGTCAGTTCTTTTGTGAGTAAAGGTCGGGCGGGTATATACTCCTCTATACGACCACCAGGAAATACTCCATGCAATTTGGGACCAAGCCTCCTCTCAGAGAGTAAAGTGAAGATGACAGATTCTGTAATAAGTCCCTCCAAGGCTCTCTCTCCATGTACTTGCCCATATAGACGTAGCAAAACTTGACGAGGTTCCCCCCTAATTGGGACCGCTCCTTCGGGGAGTTGGATATTGTACAACCAGTTACTAAGACCACCACTGAAAGTAATAGTATAGAAGCTTTGTCATTTTATCTCATTGCTATATATAAATTAATTTATCTATAATCGAATTATATAAATTGTAGTGTATTTTACACATAAAAATCTTACACATACAAACCTGATACGTTTTAGAATAATATTCTGCGCAGTAACGTGCTTCCAAACACCATGCAAGTAATCTCGACATATTCTCGCGGCAGTTTCCCTCATTTCGGGATTCTTGTCCGACATCTATCATAAAAAATATAATTTGGAATAATTCTGGGATATAGTACTTAATTATATCTTTTCTTTCTTGAGACAGTTAAAATATAATTTTCTCTCACCAGCTATTGATAAATCATTTCAATCATTCTTCTGATATGATATGACGGAATGCGGCAAAAATAACCAAACAAAGAGTAAGAGATGCAATATGATTTTCAAAATTATTTCAGCTAAAGATGAGCTCGCGGATTCATGATAATTATAAATGGAACGAAAAACAGCGATTAAACATTATGCCAAAAATCATGTATACATAATATCGAAATCATCTACTGTTTATAGAAAAAAACCGCATGCGTCACGATATTACTGACGTCACATTACCGACCAGTGGATCTCAAATGGTATTCGACAAATTGTACTTTGTATTTTTGGATATGAAAACCTAATGTTTACAATTATTTTACTACAATTAGTTTACAATTCAAGGATTAGAAGGAAAGGAAGTAAAAGGAAAAAATGAAATTAAAATTAAAATATTTTATTAAATATATAAGAGTATACAAAATGCAATTGTGGATATTGCGCTTAATTTATATGTGAATATATTGCGCATTTTTTGCTGATAAGTTAATTTCTTTTAGCGTACGTTTATCGTGACTTATGCGTCATTCTGTTTACCAAGAATTTGCGATCGTAGTTTATAAATGGGTATAAAAACAGATTCTACTTATTCGATATTCAAACATAATTACGGCGCATGTGTATAACGAAAATAGAAATATTGTGCACAAAAATAAATTAATGAACATTTTCGACATAATATTGTGCAACATACCAGATAGATAAGCGAAAATTGATAAGACAAAATTCATCTAGCTCGCTCTGATTAGCTTCGATTAGCAATCGCGTGTATACACACAATGTACACAAACCACATATAAATAATATATAAATAATGATATATGTCAGGGATATCGAGTACAGGTTAAATATAGCAAAGGCAAGGCCACAAGCATTTTCTTGTGTCGCAAAGCAATTAAATTCCAATGTTATCATGTTGATATCGAAAGTTTACGTGAACTTCCAGTTTCGGAAAGATAAAGAGTTATAAAGAAATGCAGTATATAAAGGAGTATCATAGTAAATACCTTGTGTTCGACGCCCATCCCCATGTCGAAAGCTTTTAGGTTGTTCCTCGATATTATCGGATACGCTATCGGGAGCCTATTGAAACCGCTGACACGGCTCAGAAGAGGATATGCGAGAAAGCTGAATTCTCCGAACGTCGATCGAATTTCCCGATGTAGCACGCACACCTCGAAAGCTATAATTATTATTACCGGCACGATCGTATCACACGGTCGTCGCGATTCGTGACGAGTTATGTCACGAGATATATATACGTAGCCGCGGATAAAAGATAATTTATACGTATAATGTGTATGCACCTGGTATTTGCAACTTCCCGTCTTTCGCGATAAACAAGTCTGCGGCCTCGTTAACGAGACGATTTAGATTAGAAGATTACGATATTATAACTGCGTTAATTATCGTTCACGGAATTTGACGTACAACACAATTGATACCGGCAATAAAAGAAAATATCTTTTATCAGCGCAAGTATTTTTTTTTGCAATATGTACAATATTGCAAAAGAAAGAGAAAAGAAGATTATCTCGAAACAAAGCTCTGAATGGAAAACCGACGACTGTTGACGACTGTTGGGTTCTGAATGATTCATCGCGTTGCTTTCCGTTTACTTTTGTTGCAGCTCGCTCGAAAGCGCCAATGAAAACGCGCACGTGGATCAGCTGACTGTCAATAGATGATCAGGTTACTGCTAAGTCGACATGTATTCAAGATAACGCAGCGTTCTTATCATGTGTAGATATTTGCGTAGTATTTTATGTACATTGTACAAATCATAATTTATATGACAAGGAAAAAGAGGAAAATTACATTAAATGATCGCGAAGATTATGCTAATAACTCTTGTGCACGGAATGCGACATGATTGCGTTTTATGCGCAATAATATATAATATCCATAATTGTTGAAGTCCAAAATACAAAAGAAAACATTTATCATCATATTTTTTCTAAATTTCAAGTAATTTTGCACATATACTCGATAAAAAACGCGGGATAATTGACAGAAAAAGGCGCGACATCTTGCTGTGTGATAAAAAGATGCTTTGTTAAGCTGCACACAATGCATCGGTAAAGTAGAGACTTCGTTGATACAACGATACAACACAGTAATCAAAACATCAAAACATTACTGTTTACTCGTTTACTGGAATAATAAAATCCTAATAGAAAGATTTAAAATGATGGAATCTCCTGGTCCGAGTTCAGCTGCTAATATCTGTGAATTGTAAGTGAAATTCTTTGGTACAAATATTTGACTACAATGTAATTTGTAAAAAAGGTATTTGCGAAATAATTGCGAAGTTGCGCTAAAATTAAATAGCTTTGCAAAGACCGATTATATTATAAATCTGATATTGTTTTTGAATTTTCATTATGTACTTTTTTAATATTAGATGTGACAAACGCACACGTTTGTATACCTGTCCGCGATGTGGCATAGGCTATTGTGGGACTGAGTGTTACAAATCAGACGCACACACCGATTGCTCCGAGAGTTTTTACAGACAATGTATCGAGGATGAATTAAAATCTCAGGAGAATGATCCAGATGCTAGACAAAAAATGATAGAAATCCTCAAAAGAGTACATGAAGCAGATGTAGAAGATGATATTTTAAAAGATTTTGATGAGAGCAGTATTGATGACAAGGACTGTCTAGATTCAGATGATGAGCAAGAGGTAAATGAAACTAATAATTTGAATGATTTATTTCAGAATCTAATAAATTTTTATTCTCAAATATATGTTTCAGCTTCTCGATTTAGAAAGCAGATTGCAGAATGTTAATTTTGAAGATCCGAATGAACTTTGGTCAGCCTTATCAGATGCAGAAAAGCAAGAATTTGAAGCATTATTAAAGAACGGAGAAGCAGAAAAATTGCTGCCAAAATGGATACCGTGGTGGACTCATCATGTTGAAAGAAAATTAATTCAACCCATTGAAGAGGATACTATGAATGCTTACAACGATTTAAAATATCCTATTTTAATAGATGTACCATTATTTAATGAATTGCAGGTAAAATTCATTGGTATCAATAAGTTTGCATAGTCAGAATAGTCAAATTTAATTAAATGGATTACTTGTATTCAGAAAGCATCCCCTTGTGTATATTTCAATGTGACAAATGTGATATACGCTTATGCGTATACAGCTCTCTATTATATTGGAGATTATCTAAGTTGCGCCGAAGATGCTGCAAATGTCTTTTTGACTATATGTGCGAATATAAGAAACAATGAAGTCTTCAAAGATGTAGACTCGGCGATTGAATCTGTCATAGGAAACATCAAAAGTGTGAGTAATTTATGTACATTGCATTAGTTCATATAATAATATGCTATTAATAAATGCTTAGGTTGACTGGTTGCCTCAAAATGAAGAATGTTTAGCGGCGCTAAGGGAAGCGGGCACTTCAATTTTGCAGGGACCAGGTTCTGAAATGAAAACTCTTTATATATCCGCGGCGCTCTCAGAACTTCATAGATTACTGACAGCAGCCAAGAAAGAAATTTCGATGCATATAAATGTAAAGGGCAATCAAGAATTTACAAAAAGATTTCCACATAGACGTGACGGCGAAATTAATCTCTCGAAAAAAAATATACTTTTATATTTAAAAAAATTAGAATATTATTTATCGTGGGTGAAAAACTATGGAACAGAACTTGTATAAATACAATTATAAATTATTGTTTTATTATTTGCTATAACTATATTGTATTATTTTATTGAAACAATAAATAATAATAAAACAATTTTCAAGTAATATATTGCAGATTATTTGGATAAATATTCTCGTATTGTTTTTGGATAAAGAAAATAAAAAAAAAGGAGGGGATAGCGACTATTAAGATCTATTCGCATGAAAACGCATAACTAAAGTATAATATGCACAGTGTAAAATCAATCACAAATTCAAAATAAAGAATGTTACATTGTTGTGATCTGTATATTAAACACATGATTCATCGATCTGTCTGCATGTTTATTATTCAGCTATACATAAATCCATTGGACAGGTTTTCGTGCTTCCTCTCGCGGTTCAAGAACGTACTCTAGCAGACGATGTTATCGACAACAATTCTCGCATGAGTGGGATGCAAGATGCAACCTGAATTCTGAATTGTTCAGTTGATACATAGTCAGTGCTAATGATCGGTCAGCTGCGAAATAATGGCGGACGAGAAGTTATTTTTCTCGAACGCCGTACAACAATTGGCGAGATGTTTAGCCGCTATCAAACCTACACCATGGGAAAAGGTAAGTTTTTACAGATAAAATTCTCTGATTGAAGAGAAATTAATTAATTTCTCGATAATTTCACGAATAGCCATTATTTTACATTTCCATCGGCTTGACGTATCAGGGTTAGCCGCAGGAAATGTCAGCTGATATCTTGACATATTGTGTTATGACATAATCCAAGAGACACTTGTAGGATTATTATAGTTATTTGTGACGTAATAATTAACCGGTGCGTTAAAAAATTATAGCTGCAACTTATATAATCTGTTTGAAAGAGATCTTAAGAAAAATAATAATGTTATTATGATAGGATGGAAATATAAGATAGAAATATTTAGAAAATTTATTTGTGCAATTATTTTAAAAGTATTATAATATAAAATTACGATTATTTATAAATATTTTAATACACAATAATATTTTATAGGATTATGTCGAAGAGAAGAGTTCGGATCATTATTTTTTTCTCATAATGCAATTACCAAAAAAACTTGATTAAAGCAGTTATGAAAAAGGAAAGAAGTTAATTTATTCTTTTTATATCGAATTGCAGGTAGCTAAATTGTACAAGTTATGTCCGCAAGATTCTGCTCAGGGTGTATTCCGCTTGGATCAGAGGGGTCAGGATGCGACCATAGCCTTGGGAATTTATTTTTTGGAATCTGGATTACAACATCGGGATCGAATATTACCGTATCTGCTCAGACTGTTACGTGGTCTTCCAAAAGCGGTGTGGCGGGATGAGGTGAAATGTTCGCTCGCCGAAAGAGTTCCGGTGGCGGAACGCTTCAGCTTCTGCCTGAACACATTATTGAGCGATGTGGCGGCCAGATGCGAACCAGTACGAGAAGAAATCATTTCGACGCAGGTTGAGATCCTCGCGGTTATGACCAATCTGATACGTGGATATAAAGATCAAAATAGTAATCGGGGCTTGCAAGCAAAGAGTAAGTAGAGATATATTAAAATATATATGGTTGTTTCTGTTATTACAAGTTGCAACCATTTGAAATGATAAGATACAAATGACAATTCTATCTGAAATATTAAAAAATTAGTAATTTAAATTAACATGTACTAGTAAAGGGAAGAATAAGTCAGAATATATTGTAAATCTATTTTTATTGGGCTTAATATCATTGAGACACTGAGTTCTTGTCTTACACCATATATGTTTTATATTATTTGATAAGAAATGAGAAGCTTCAGTTAAATTACATTCCCGACATGTTACATTTTGTTTCAGTATCATTATGCAAATGTCTGGTACCAGTACTGATTGGTCTGGCACGATCGATGGGCCGTTTTGCGTGCACGGATCCGCCGTTGCTTTGCCGCATCTTTCCGCGCCGGGAGACACCCTCGTCAGCAAGCAGCACCGAGAACCGCTTGATTCCCGATAAAAAACAGTACAACTTCTCAAACTTTAGACCGATTATCCCGCGATCTCTGAGCGGTAACTTTAATTCGTGTATTGACAACATAGCGCTACCTGGCTATGACAGTCATGATTATCAATGCGGCAAGAGACCATCGTTACAGTCCTTCCTGTCGGTGCCGTACGACCCAACAACGTATTTCTTCAGTCGTTATGGATCGAGCTTCAATCAATTCCCGCAGATGCGATGCAACGAGAGTCCCGAGAGAAGAGCCGGGATGCAGTTCACCGTGGTTCACTTGCAGAGTGTGTTAGCCCTAGCTAAAAAATTACTTACAAAGGAGATCCTGACGTTTTTAGATGAAGAGGCGCAACAAGTAAGTTAATTATATTAACGATTATTATTTTCTATTATTTTTCTGAGTCTAGTTATAAATAATCGTAATTATAATATCATTTTAGGTTTACAGTTCTGGCCAAGTACACATTTTCCCATATCGTACGTTCAGCGAGACGATGAATCTAGTGATGGTGGCTCTGTTGCGCGAACTCCTGCAGAATCAGCACGATCTACCGGCACCGTTCACGAGGGACGTGCAGGAATTCGTCAAAGGTTTGTTCCTCTCGGGCCAAACGGAGCTGCAATCGCGACAGCACGACGCGAGCGAACGCGAAGACATTGATACGAATTTCCGTACCGTCAATCGCTTCAAGGTGAATGTGATGGCCAACTCCGCGTGCGTGGATTTGCTGGTCTGGGCGATTGGCGACGAGACAGGTAAGCATATATTTTGCATTTGTCGATGACAAAATAAATATCGCGCGTCGCGGAAGCATTTTCTGCCTAAGATTAAATAGATTGCGCACTCATATAAGAATAATAATCTATATGGAAGAGTTTCACGATTGTGCTTGTAACTGTAAGCGCATGGATGGTAGTGTGACCGCGAGAAATCAATGTCTGTATCGATCATGTAACACGTAATTCAGTACAAGTATAGGTTTCTTAAAATTCTTTCACGTTATTTTTCCAGTATCCGGCGAATATGATTTGTCCGCGCTGTTCGCAGATATCAGTTCAATGCTGATCGGCAAGGGTATATTGATTTACCCGTGTGTGTTACTTCCTTATTAACATGTCCGCTATTTTAATGTAATTACTAACAAATATATATATCTCTGCTTAGTAGTACGATAATAATCCGTTGATCGCTCCTTCTTGCAGTGTTTTTTTTTCAAATGTCATGTATAAATGACTAATATCGATAACTTTGTAACAGGCAATTCTGCGAAAGAAAGTTTTATTTAAATATTTATGTATTTATATTGTAAATTATATATGTATATAAATTTTGATTCTCAGGCGCGGATAGTTTGTGCGGACGACTCGTGGAAAAGATTAATTCCAATCATGGACCGAAGCTTGTGCTGGCACATATGCCATTATTGATGGTTTGTCTTGAGGGATTAGGAAAATTAGCGCAAAAATTTCCCAACATAGCCAGCACGTCGATATATTATTTACGAGACTTTCTCGTTGCACCATCGCCGATTCTTCTGAAGTTATATCGACAACATAGCGAATACTCCATGAAAGAACATCAATTTAAAGTGCTAGGTAAATTTCATCTCTCTTATCACATATTATTTTTGTCAATGTGTTAATTATAAAATTATTTGTAATAAATATAGCCCATATTCACATATTTTTCGGCAGTTCAAGGGAAGGAAATAAGCGACACAAAGCAGACGCCGTCATCAGTGCATACGGCATTTGAGAAACTTCGCGATGCAGCAATCGGCAATCTCTGCATTGCCTTGGAAGCTGCGCACTCCGTGAATCCGGATTGCGTGCCGGCGCTTGTGGCCAGCGTCTCGAATAGATTGTACACTGCGGATATAAGCGACGGGTACGGCTATTTGACGACATCGGAGTTTATAATTTTTCTGACGAGCATACATAAATAAAAATGCAATGTCCACTCGATATTTTTTTTTAGTGAAAATGACGAGAAATTGAAGAACGAAGTAGTCTCGAAGAACATTGTGATTATGTTGGGCCATGTGGCTGTGGCGCTAAAAGATACCCCGAAGACAATGCGCACCATCTTTCCGTTTTTCCAACAACTCTTCTGCCGCACTCCCAGTGATCTCGATTTTCTCATAGTGGATCAATTGGGTTGCATGATCATTGCCAAGTGCGAACCAAAGGTTAGCAACAATTTTAATTTTTTTAGAGTCATTTGTAACATTCGAACGAAAAACTTTGGATAATCATTATCAAGAATACTTGTTACGCAGATTTATGAGGGGATAATGCAAATGTTCTCCATGTCATTGGGATCGAGTACGGCGACATATGCTGCGAACGATGATCGTAAGCAGTATTGTCACGTTTCCAAGGCGGTTACGAACGCGCTGGCGAATATAGCGGCGAATCTACAAGGCGAGTCGGAATTGGACGATTTGCTGTTGCATCTTCTTGAGCTTTTTGTGCAGTTGGGACTCGAGGGTAAACGCGCCAGTGACAAGATGCCAAATAGTATCATCGCGACGGTAAGATTGCTTTAATCTATTTTAATTTTAACAAAATGTAGGAGGAAAATATCTTAAACATGATAAACAGAAAGCAGCTAGCAGCGCCGGAAATTTAGGAGTACTCATCCCCGTGATTGCGATATTGATGCGGCGTCTACCGCCGATCAGACATCCACAGAAACGACTTCTGAAACTGTTCAAGGATTTTTGGTTGTATTGTGTTATAATGGGCTTCGCCGCGGATCTTCCGTCGAGATTGTGGCCACCCGAATGGTACGAAGGCGTCAAAGAAATCGCAGTCAAGTCGCCCTACCTTATTTCCCAGACCAGCGCTCGTCTCGAAATGCGAGAGTTACAATACACATCAGCAGTACGCAATGACAGTGTCTCATTGAACGAGTTGCAGGAGTTGCGGAGTCAAGTATTAAAAATAAGCACCCGGTATGATTTATTTCAAATCATACATTCCTCTTATTTTTGATCTTTAATTAATTTTTCAATTATAAAGATTGTTTGAGAAAATTGTTGAAAATTGAATATGTGACATTTTCTTGTTTTAATTATAAGAAAATGATATGCATTGTTCTATTATTAAGAGAAATTAATGTTTTATTTTTTAGATATATATCTTTTATTATTTAGAATCTATTAAATATGTTATTATTTAGTATCTGCTAAAATTTCTTGTGTTTTCTTTTCAGTACAAACGACATATCAGCGTACGTGACTAAGTTGCAGTTTGCACAATGCACATATTTGTTATCCGTTTATTGGTCAGAGACCTTGCGGGTGGCAAACAGTCCTGAACCCAGTTTGCAACCGATAATGGAGTACCTATGCGATACTGATTTGCAGAAGGATAAAAGTGGTATGTGGCAGTGTATATGTTGCGTGGCGGACTCTGTCTTTACCAAGTTCAAGGATGTGATGCAACGCAAACCGAAAGACGAGCAACGCGAGAAAGAACTTGAGAATCATGCGCAATTCCTGTTGGTGCGTTTCAATCACGTGCACAAACAAATCAGGAGGGTGGCGGATAAGTATCTCAGTGCATTAGTGGATGCTTTTCCGCATCTGTTATGGAATTGTAAAGTCCTCTGGAGTATGTTGGATACATTACAGGTATTCTTAACGCGCTTTTTATCGCGTACTCCATCTATATGTTTCGTTAGACTTCTTTTTATAAATAAATGTGATTTATTGCAGATTTTATCATACTCATTACAACTTGATCCAAATGAAGAAACTCCTAGTTTGAGAATACCTAGCACACCATACAGTATTGAACTTATGAATACTCTCGAAGCAAGAGAGGTATGATATTGTTATGTAATTTATATGTTAGATTATTTGCTAAAATAAAACAGATTTTATACTAACACATGAATTATATTACAGATTATTGCGAAAGATTTTACTGCAAGATGTAAAGGCATAGTGCAGGAGGCTATGAAGTGGGCACCGCAAGCTACCAGATCACATCTACAAGAGTATATTAATCAGATACCATCTTCCGGCATGCGACATCATTCTGGTTTATCGCTGGCTATTGACTCTGTCCTCGAATTCGTGGATACCGCAATTCCTACAGTAGTTCCGGCAAATGTATGTAGCGATGTTAAACATATTATATACGCATTATATAAATAATAACTCGCTATTAATTTTATACTAATGGAATAACGTATTTTATAGACGAATTCGTTGGACAAAAGGCCACGCGGTCCGATGGAGTATGTTGGATACATTACAGGTATTCTTAACGCGCTTTTTATCGCGTACTCCATTTATATGTTTCGTTAGACTTCTTTTTATAAATAAATGTATTATTGCAGATTTTATCATACTCATTACAACTTGATCCAAATGAAGAAACTCCTAGTTTGAGAATACCTAGCACACCATACAGTATTGAACTTATGAATACTCTCGAAGCAAGAGAGGTATGATATTGTTATGTAATTTATATGTTAGATTATTTGCTAAAATAAAACAGATTTTATACTAACACATGAATTATATTACAGATTATTGCGAAAGATTTTACTGCAAGATGTAAAGGCATAGTGCAGGAGGCTATGAAGTGGGCACCGCAAGCTACCAGATCACATCTACAAGAGTATATTAATCAGATACCATCTTCCGGCATGCGACATCATTCTGGTTTATCGCTGGCTATTGACTCTGTCCTCGAATTCGTGGATACCGCAATTCCTACAGTAGTTCCGGCAAATGTATGTAGCGATGTTAAACATATTATATACGCATTATATAAATAATAACTCGCTATTAATTTTATACTAATGGAATAACGTATTTTATAGACGAATTCGTTGGACAAGAGGCCACGCGGTCCGAAGGGCACGAGTTCGTGGCTGTTATCGATGATGTCTACGAGATCCTGGCATGCCGGCGAGGTAGCGGGTATGCTCGCTCTCGCGCGCACCGATTCGCCAACCGCAGAGATGACTCTAGAAAAATGCAGAGATAAAGTCATCGATAGGTTGATCGAAGCTGTTCGCCGCGCTTCTCAGGAGCGCGATGATATCGCTCATCGCGGGGCTCTCTGGCGTGCCACTGCTCTCTTAATATCCATGCCCGGTAAACTTGAATAGCAGTAAACTTCATAATTTTAAACAGAACATTCTGTTTAACTTTATTTTGTAATTTTACTATTTACCTTTTCAGGAATACATAGACGATTGCTACATACAGTCGCATGCTCGCAGATAGAACTGTTCACGACCGCGGCTATGACAACGGCGGTCGAGTGCTGGCAATGGATCTTGACCGTACGACCCGATCTAAAATTGCGTTTCTTGCAAGAGATGTTGCTCGCATGGCAGTACACTGTTGACAAGAGGATGGGCCTGTTCGCACCAAACGAGGAAGAAGTCAGTCCGCTCGCAGTCTACGAGGGTTGCAAGCTTGGGCCCACTCCACCACATGTGAAATCACACGATATCTGGGTGACTTTTATTGTCGAGCTTGTCGAGACAGCAAAGTACTGTTGCCAGGAAACGGTCGACATGATCGCCGTACTGTTACATCGCTCGTTACCCATGACTGTCGGTGCGTCCGGCGAGGAGCCCGGTATTAATCGGCACGTTGCCGCGGTTGGCGTGCGTTTTAAGCTACTCTCGTGCGGTCTGGTACTGTTGCAAGGTGATGTTTTACCAAGGTAAATACACGAAATGAATAATTTTTTAAATAATAATTGTGATAAAGAATAATTGGTGGATCTATTCTCGCAGGATTTTGAGCAAAAATGTCCTGCGTGAACGCATCTATTCCAATTGCCTGGATTATTTCTGTCGGGAACGTCAATTACCGACCCAAGAGATTGATCAACTTAGCGAGGACATAGTTACATTAATACGCTTTTGGCAGGTAAGAGTTTGCAGCAAATTGTGCCTAATTTATAAATTAAGACGCGCTGATCTTAATCGTGGAGATTTTTACAAGTATCCCTTTTATCCTCAATATCACTATTTGTTCGCGTTACTCTGTTTTGCTTCCTTTTTGCAGGTGATGCATAGCGACAAAAAGTACTTGATGATGACGGGGGCCGATAACGAGTTTGAAATAGTGACTTCTCAAACCTGTACAACCACGGTAATCGTTCCAAGCGAGACAATCGGTTCGTTAGCCGCCACGCTTGCTCCCACGCCGAACGACTTTTCGAAGTCGTCCAGCAATGTGTGGATGAACACCATGCCGATGTCGACCAGTAGCAATACATTAGGCAAGCGTAGCAATCGCAGCAAACGAATTGTAAACGCCAATGTTTTCGTGAAGGATTATATCAAGAAGAGAAATTTAATTCTCGAGTTGTTAGCGGTTGAAATCGAGATGTTATTGGTGAGAGTACTCGATGAATCTTTATATTATATATTATTTTATCACTGTTTGATGTGAAAATAATGCTTTTGAATGTTGAAATCTTGTAGGTCTGGCGTAATCCTAGCGGAAGACCGGAACTCGCACTGCAAGGAGAAGGAAGTATCGCGGACTGGCGTGCCAAAGGAATGAACGATCGTTGGCGCGAGTATACGCGGCTCGCATGGGAGATCAGTCCCATCCTGGCAATATTCCTACCAGTGCGATTGAAGAATCACGAAGTCATTATCAAGGAGATCTGCGGTTTGGTGCGTCTTAAACCTATACCAGTCATGCATGTGTCGGAAGCATTGCAGTATCTTGTCACAACGGACACGCTGCTCAACGATGTACCTGAAGTAAGATATTTTGAATACATTATACGTAATAACTTTTAGTTAGCGGATCACTATTTTATAATTTGCAATACATCGATATACAATTAATAGTCTGAGAGATGTATAATATTACCGCATATTTATACATTGGATATTATTATTCCATCTAATTGCATTTGTGATATAATTATCTGTGTTTCAGTTAGTTTATATGTTAACATGGGCAAGGGTGTCTCCGATTCAAGCACTGGCGTACTTCTCGCGACAATTTCCGCATCACCCTATCTCGGCGCAGTACGCGGTGCAAGTGTTGGACAGTTACCCCGCCGACGCTGTGCTTTTTTATATACCTCAGCTAGTGCAAGCCGTCCGTCACGATGCAATGGGCTATGTAATCGAATTTATCAAGAAAATCGCTAAACGATCGCAGGTAATAAGATTTGTAATTAAAATTAAGTTAAATCGGGAAAGAAATTCGCTTGTAATTGCTTTGATTTATAACGCGTTCTAGGTAGTGGCACATCAGCTGATATGGAATATGCACACTAATGTGTATATGGACGAGGATAAGCAGGTGAAGGATCCCGTGCTGTATGACATATTAGATTTGTTGACGAAGAATATCCTGAATTCACTGTCTGGCCCGGCAAAACAATTTTATGAGAGGGAGTTCGACTTTTTCGAAAAAATTACCAATATTTCGGGCGAAATCCGACCATATCCCAAAGGGCCAGAACGTAAAGCCGCATGTCTAGAAGCCTTAGCGAGAGTGAAAGTACAACCCGGTTGCTATCTACCATCGAATCCTGAAGCGATGGTTATCGATATAGATTATCAAAGCGGTACTCCTATGCAGAGGTACGATTTAGAAAGATGATCACAAAACAATGATTTACATAAGATGATTTTATTATAAAGTATTATATAATTGATTTACAATTACAGCGCTGCTAAGGCACCGTTCTTAGCACGTTTCAAAGTACAAAGATACGGTATCAATGAGCTCGAGAACATTGCGCTAGCAGTCTCAACTAACGGGAAAATCGAGACCAAGAAAGAACCGGAAGAGCAGACATGGCAAGCCGCTATTTTCAAAGTTGGTGATGATGTCAGGCAAGACATGCTGGCTCTGCAAGTGATTAGCATCTTTAAGAACATATTCCAGAAGGTCGGGCTGAACTTGTTCTTGTTTCCCTATAGAGTGGTGGCCACAGCTCCCGGGGTGAGATAAATATCGATTTTTTTTTGTCATATTGTTTGATAAATATCTTTCATTTATAATTATGCTCCTGTGTAATTAGTGCGGCGTGATAGAATGCGTGCCGCACGCAACATCGAGGGACCAGCTCGGGCGTACGACAGATAGCGACATGTATCAATACTTCATCACCCAACACGGGGACGAGACGACCAAAGATTTTCAAAACGTTCGTCGCAACTTTGTCAAGTCGATGGCGGCGTACAGCGTGATAACCTACCTTCTGCAAATAAAAGACCGTCACAATGGCAATATCATGATAGACACTCAAGGCCATATCATACACATCGACTTCGGCTTCATGTTCGAGAGCTCGCCCGGCGGTAACCTGGGCTTCGAACCCGACATCAAACTCACCGACGAGATGGTGCTCGTGATGGGTGGCAAAATGGAGGCTGCGCCGTTCCGTTGGTTCATGGAATTGTGCGTACAAGCTTTCCTCGCGGTCAGGTAAATGCAAAAATTATAATATTTAGTTGTAACAAGAAATACAAATCTGTGTATTGCTTAAATATATCTACTTAAATGTTCTCTATCTTGTAGGCCCTACCAGGAAGCCATCATCTCTCTCGTCTCCCTTATGCTTGACACAGGATTACCCTGCTTCCGTGGACAAACAATCAAGCTCCTACGTAGCCGATTCGTGCCCACTGCTACCGATAGAGATGCGGCAATCTTCATGATTAATGTAATACGTAACAGCTACCTCAACTTCCGTACGAAAACTTATGATATGATACAATATTATCAGAATCAAATCCCCTATTAAACTGTTGCTGGAGAAGAGAAGTTATCTCTCTTCTTCCTTCTCCTGTTTCTCCTTGTAATTCTTGTAATCGTTAGTTGGCGAACGTTTTGCGCTCGCTACACAACTGTTGTTATCTAGTTAGAATCCAAGAATTTAACATACCATGTTAGATATTGTTAGATATTGCAGTGTGATAGCTAATTAAGCGAGGCTGTACAAATTTATATCGATGTCAATATTATTTTTAGTCCCGCATGTATTTTGTGAAAACGCGTATTTTACTCTGTATGTAATAATGTATTATATTTATCTACGAGATATTGTGCCGATACATATATATATATATATATACATGTCTGTTTTTCGCAGCATATCTATGTATACGAGAACATTCCTGTTTATTATTAATTTATGCAATGATGATTATGCAAAATGATTAAAAATTAAATTAAATCCTGACTTATATAAAATATATTTCAACTTGTGATGCATATTTCAATCCTCAGCTATGACAGTATTAAATCTGACTAATATATAAAATACTACAAAGAATATGTATGTGTGCATTTTTATTTCAGTTTGTTGTTTTGCTCTGATGTCTTTGTAATTTTACTTGAAATAACTTTCTAGAGGGATATAGTGAACAGTTAATTAGACAATAAATAATTAAGTAGCTTAATTTATTTTCTATGTACAATAATTATGTCAGAGCAAATCTACCATTATATAATATATTACATCAATGTGTAATTTGCAATATAACATCTTCTAGGTAAACTTTATGAAACTAAGAATCCCAATTGTAAGTTTTCCCTGGACTAAGATGTTTCTCTTCAATACCATTATATACATCAATGTGTAATTTGCAATATAACATCTTCTAGGTAAACTTTATGAAACTAAGAATCCCAATTGTAAGTTTTCCCTTTTTCCCTGTCTCCTGGTACTGGCGGAGGTTGAGTGCGCGCTGCTAGTTCATCAGAATATCTAATCGCTAACACGACTTTCTTCTGCAATACATAAATAATAAATCTTATGATAAGGTCCTCCTGGTACATTTGGCGGAGGTTGAGTGCGCGCTGCTAGTTCATCAGAATATCTAATCGCTAACACCGCTAACACCTGCAATACATAAATAATTTCATAAATCATTAAGAGAGCTATCCTATTTAAAATAAATTAATTTATACAATTTCAACTTATAATATAACATATGTTTAGCACAAGAATAAAATCTTGTAGAAATGTAATTTGAAATTCTAAAATTTCTAAAACTGCGCTTTTGCATCAAGAAGACACACAAGTATATTAAGAATAAAGAAAAATAATTTAAGTACAACATATTTTCCCTAAAAATATTTCTTGTTCAATTTCTCCATATTAAATCCAAAATTTTTTATGCAGATATATAACCTCATAATAAAACATTGTAACTAATTATTTCTCTTAAGATAGATGACTTATTTTGTTCAGAAAATTCTTTTAGTATTAATAAATCAATAACAATATATCTTAACAAATAAAAATATTAAAAATTAGAAAAGATTACATAATTGAAGTAAATGTCATTATACTTACACCACGAAATGTCTCTCGAATCAATTGTATTAGTGGTGTAACAGCCCGGTGTTCAACTGCACCCGGCATGCTTCCCCAGTAAATTAATCAAGTTATTAACAAATAACAAAGCTTAACACAATATTTATTGTAATTAGTGAACTATCCGTATAGCTAACCACAAACCACAAATAATAAGCATTGATAAACACTTGCGTTGTATCGATATTACTCGCATCGATCGATATAAATCGATATAAATCGATTTGATTTTTGCGGATCAAAAATACAGTAAAGTAACAATCGACGAAAGTATCTCACGATTATTATAGAGATAAGATATCCATCACATCTTTTAGTAACGTTATTATGATGGTAAGCCGGGATATGTTCTTTAATTAGCAACATTTTCTAATGAATTGCATAGAGATGTGACAAATATATATATAACAATTTTTAAAAGTAATTTTTTAATTTTTTCGAAAATTATTCAAGAACATTTGACGCGTATCATAATTTGTAAAAATGCATTTATTACAAAGCTATGGTTTTTATCATCTACATTTTCACGTCAATTTTTCATTCATCTTTTATATTCACTGCTATGTTTATTTTGTACGACTTACTGAATCTTTTTTATATAAATTTAAACACAGATTATATTATATGGCGAATACTTTATTTACATTACTCTGAATTTAGTTTAATTATAATTGATGTCTCCTCGCATGTTTTCTCTTTTCCTCGCCATTTAAATTCTCATAAGTCGTTGTAATTAATTGGAATTATAATCCATTTGTTTCTGTATAATTAATCATATCCATTACTACTTCTCGTAAATAATTGTACATATTGTACATACGATATATACAAGTATATATACGATGGCGAACGGCGGCAATGGCGAACGCCGTTGATGAATTTATATATGTTGATCAAGCGTCAATTTGACAGGAGCGATTGTCTAGTCGCAACAGAGAAACGATTAAAAAGGAGAAATATGCGTTACATCCGTGACGAGCGTAAACGAACGACGATTCACACGACTTTGAAAAAACGAGAAAGAACGAACAGGAAGAACGGTGGCAGAAGAACAACATATGGCGACATTTACATGTGGTAGATGAAGAAAACATCTGCGAGGCGAATGTATCGTGAATGAAAGAGTCTCATCGACAGCGTTTTTTATACGCAACTGAAAGTATAAGGGTAATTTCATTTTAATATCGTTCGAAAACTAACGAAATAGTTCATAGGTTAGAATCGCAGAGATTGATATTTAATTATCTTAATGTATTGGCAGCTCTCTCTCTCTCTCTCTTTCTTTCTCACATATTCTCTCTCTTTCTCTCTGTGTTACAATAAAGATTATGACAGTTAAACACATCCTATGTTTGACTTGCAGCAGATTATGTATGGGCAAGTGCAAGCTTGCAGGATCAATTTTGTTTTATATCTGAATATTGCTATTGTCATCATCGTGTTAAGAATATGTCTGCCAACATGTTGACAGAGCAGAACGTAATAATGGAATTTACTGATTCCAATGATACAGCGCCGATTGGTTTTATCACTACGGATGATGGTCATACGCTTTTCGCAGTGGGTGGTAAGATAATAGATCAACAATATTTAATATACTAAATGAATAATTAGCAAAGATGCAGTGTTATATATATTACTGTGAAGGATATATTCTATTCTTACATGTTTCTCTTTATACAATAATAAAAGATTTTTCAGAGTTATACACAGAAGTTTTATATTTGTAATGTATATATATATACATAGA